CTCGTGCTGATGAACTACTTTGAGGGCCTCCACCGCTCTCGTGCTGGAGGGGGCCCACGACAGGCAGTGGGCATGCCAGGGACTACAGCTGCTGGTGGACGACCCAAAGCCCGACTACCGCGTGTTCAGGTCGCAGCTCCTGGCCGACCTGGAGAAGGAGCGTCAAGCCGCCTCTGCCTCGCTCGGCCCCCGCGGGAACCCTCGCGGGCTGCAACCACCAAACCTTCCCACGGGTCCGTCGCCCACAAGCAGAAGTCCGAAGATGTGCAAGCACGTGAACGCTGGGCCTCCCTCATATCGTGTCAGATCTACACCGAGCCGACGGCTTCAGTGAGGTCACTCTGCTGCGTCAGCGACGCCATCCTGTGCCGCGCGGAGACCCTGAAGATGACCTTCAGCAGGAGGCTCCTGAGCGTGCTGCGCGAGGGGCTTGGAGCCCAGCTTGACGTGGCGGGCTCAAGCGCAGGCCTGCGAGTGCTGGTGTATAGGTGCGCCGGCTTCCTCAAAGCCGGCAAGATGTGCGGTGTGCGACCGCCCAGGCACTTCGCTCGTGACCCGAGCCCCGGCCACAAGGAAAAGTTCCGCAGGGGCCGAGGCACGTTGGACGGTTGGGTTGCACTATATGTTCGGGTCGGACATGCGGGACATGCGCATCCAAAGAGAATATACAGCACTACTATGTCTTTGTGCGTCCCATAGAACTGTAGTGCACGATGCGTAGGGTGAACATAATGATCAGGATGAGCCGGAGGCGAATCTAGGCCTCCCAGATCGGGTCGTAGCAGATGGGATCGGAGGATCGCGCCGCATCGCCGACGCATCGGCGATGCGACTGGATATGAAGCCCTACTTTCTCCTCGCCGACGTCGCCGATGCATCGCCGACGTCGCCAGTGAATCGCCGACGCATCGCCGATGCATCGGCACCGACCCCATCAACTCGGACCCATCTAGGAGGCCTCTAGCGTATGAGTGGGGGGTGCGGGGACTTGGACGACGATGAAAAGGTGGTGATAGAGTTTAAAGTCGTGCCAAGAAACACCCTGCTTGCCTGCAGGGTGCCCCGGGTTTCTTAGGTTTCGATGGTTTTGCCGTGGGAAGCGTGACGTTGTGCCCACACCAGAAATCGATGGACGTCCTGGGGTCTCAGGGTTGGGTTACTTGTGGAAGATTTCTTGTGGTCGAACTCCTATTGTAGGACGACGATGAAAGGATGATGGTAAGAGGAACCCGACTCGGAACAACCGCGCACCCCGAGCATCCGCAGGGCGAAGGCACGCGCCGATGCTATCAAGCAGTTTCACGGATGGGGGGCGGGTCTTTTTCAACATGTGGTTCTCGCCTGAACGCCGCGCGCATTCTCGTCTTACTGGTTGCAACAGCTCCACATATGGAGGGCGGATGGTTCTTTAAATGTGGTTTTCGTTTCAACGCTGCGAACATCCGTCGTCAAAGTTGCAGCAATTTCACATATGAAGAGCGGGTGGGTTCTCCAAACGAGGTTCTCGATCTAACGCCGCGCACATCCGTCTTCAAGGTTGCAGCAGCTTCGTGGATGGATGGCGGGTGGTTTTCAAAATGTGGTTGTCGCTTCAGCGCCGCGCACAGTCGTCTTAAACATGTGCAGCTGTTTCGCGGATGGAGGGCGATGATATTCAACCTGTGGTTATCGCTTTAGCGGCGCGCACATTCGCTTTCAAATATCTCAACAGTTTCCAAGACGCCTATGGCCGAAGTGCCAAAAATGGTGTTCTGGCATGATCAAGGGCTTTCAGTGCGCAGCAGTCACGTTGATTCGCTGCATTGAAGTCTTAGGAATGGCGTTCTGGCGCGACTGAGAACTGTCAGGACGCATCAATCACGTCGAATTGCGGCGCTGAAGTCCCAGGAACTGCGTTCAGGCACGATTGACGACTCTCAAACGGTTGGTTGTCTTCCAACGGGGCAATTCCGCAATGAAAAAAACTGGCACGTGTGGCATGGCTCTCGCACAAAAAGGAAAGGGAAGGAGGAGGAGGAAGAGGGGGAGGAGGAGGAGGAGGAGGGGGAGGAGGAGGCGGAGGAGGAGGGGGGAAGAGGGGGCAAGGCATCGCCACCTGGGCCCAGCGACGGGGCCCAAGTCCCAGGTGGGGAGGGGGGGGAAGCGGCGTGCGTCGCGACGCGGAATAAGGTGCTCGGAGCGGAGGGGGCACGGGGCGGAGGTCCCTTTGGGGCGCTGGGGGCGCGGAGAGGACGGGGGGGTGCCGCGACGCGGAATAAATTGTCGGGGCGGAGGGGGAGCGCTGGGCGGGGCTTGGGGCAGAGGGCCACGGGGCGGGGGTCCAACTGGGGCGCTGGGGAACGGGGAGGGGGGGGAGGTGGCGCGCGTCGCGACGCGGAATAAAACTGTCGGGGCGGAGGGGGCACGGGGCGGAGCCCCCACTGGGGCGCTGGGGGCGCGGGGAGGGAGGTGGGGGAGGTGGTGTGCGGCGCGGCGCGGAATGAAGCGTTAGTGGCGGAAGGGGCAGTGGGCGGGGCCCCCGCTGGGGCGCTGGGGACGCGGGGGAGCTCGGGGCAGAGAGCCACGGCGCGGGGGTCCCACTCTGGCGCTGGGGACGCGGAGTGGGGGGGAGGGGGATGGGCGGGGGCGACGCGTAATAAAGCGTTCGTGTCGGAGGGGACAGTGGGCGGGTGCCCCGCTGGGGCGCTGGGGACGCGGGGGAGCTCGGGGCAGAGAGCCACTGCGCGGGGGTCCCACGCTGGCGCTGGGGACGCGGAGGGAGGGGGGGGGAGCGGAAGCGACGCGTAATACAACATTCGCGTCGGAGGGGGCAGTGGGCGGGGGCCCCGCTGGGGCGCCGGGGACGCGGGTGGGCTTGGGGCAGCGAGCCACGGCGCGGGGGTCCCACACTGGCGCTGTGGACGCGGGGGGGGGGGGGAAGGTGCGACGCGGGATAAAGCGTTCGTGGCGGAGGGGGCAGTGGGCGGGGCCCCCGCTGGGGCGCTGGGGACGCGGTGGGCTCGGGACAGAGAGCCACGGCGCGGGGGTCCCACTCTGGCGCTGGGGACGGGGGGGGGGGGGGGGGGGGCGACGCGGGATAAAGCGTTCGTGGCGGAGGGGGCAGTGGGCGGGGCCCATGCTGGGGCGCTGGGGGCGCGGGTGGGCTTGGGGCAAAAAGCCACGGCGCGGGTGCCCCACTCTGGCGCTGAGGACGCGGGGGGGAGGGGGGGGGCGACGCGAAATAAAATGGTCGGAGCTCTAGACACCCTGTGCAAGATAATAAAGGGTTCCGTGGCCCAGGGGGGCTGTCCTGGGAACCCTGGGCGGAGGGGCTCTGGGAAGGCTGGACGGAGGGGCCCCAAGAAGTCCCAAGAGCCTCCCACGGGGAGGTGGCCCAGAGAAGCGGGGGGAGGCCCAGGGGGTTCCAAGGGGTCCCACGAGCCTCGACGGGGAGGTGGCCCAGAGAAGCGGGGGGAGGCCTAGGGGATCCCAAGGGGTCCCAAGGGGAGGGCCCAGGGGGACGAACGAACGAACGAACGAAACCGAAAATAATGATGTCCGAGCTCTAGAGCACAGCTGTGCAAGGCTGGGTCGCAGGGGACGGGGAGGGGGAGGGGGTGCCCAGGAAGTAATAAGGGGCCCCAAGAGCTCCCACGGGGAGGTGGCCCAGAGAAGCGGGAAGGGCCCCGGGGGTCCCAAGGGGAGGGCCCAGGCCCAGGGAAGCTGGTGCTCAGGGGGGGGAGCTGGGTCCGAGGGGGAGGGCCCAGGGGGGTGGGTCAGACGGGGAGGGCCCAGGGGGACGAACGAACGAACGAACGACGACGAAAATAAATTGCTCCGTTGCCCAGGGGGGCTGCCCTGGGAAGCCTGGACGGAGGGGCCCTGGGAAGCCTGGGCGGAGGGGCTCCAAGAAATCCCAAGAGCCTCCACGGGGAGGTGGCCCAGAGAAACGGGGGGAGGCCCAAGGGGTCCCAAGGGGGTCCAAGAGCCTCGACGGGGAGGTGGCCCAGAGAAGCGGGGGGAGGCCCAGGGGGTCCCAAGGGGTCCCAAGGGGAGGGCCCAGGGGGACGAGCGAACGAACGAACGACGACGAAAGTAAAGATGTCCGAGCTCTAGAGCACAGCTGTGCAAGGCTGGGTCGCAGGGGACGGGGAGGGGGAGGAGGGGGCCCAGGGGGTCCCAAGGGGCCCCAAGAGCTCCCACGGGCAGGTGGCCCAGAGAAGCGGGGTGGGGCCCCGGGGGTCCCAAGGGGAGGGCCCAGGCCCAGGGAAGCTGGAACTCAGGGGGGGGAGCTGGGTCCGAGGGGGAGGGCTCAGGGGGGTGGGTCAGAGGGGGAGGGCCCAGGGGGGCGAACGAACGAACGAACGACGACGGAAAGAAAGGGTTCCGTGGCCCAGGGGGGCCGCCCTGGGAAGCCTGGACGGAGGGGCCCCAAGAAGTCCCAAGAGCTCCCACGGGGAGGTGGCCCAGAGAAGCGGGGTGGGGCCCAGGGGGTCCCAAGGGGAGGGCCCAGGGGGACGAACGAACGAACGACGACGATAATAAAGGGTTCTGTGGCCCAGGGGGGCTGCCCTGGGAAGCCTGGACGGAGGGGCCCTGGGAAGCTTGGACGGAGGGGTTCCAAGAAATCCCAAGAGCCTCCACGGGGAGGTGGCCCAGAGAAGCGGGGGGAGGCCCAGGGGGTCCCAAGGGGTCCCAAGAGCCTCCACGGGGAGGTGGCCCAGAGAAGCGGGAGGAGGCCTAGGGGGTCCCAAGGGGTCCCAAGGGGAGGGCCCAAGGGGACGAACGAACGAACGAACGAACGACAACGAAAATAAAGATGTCCGAGCTCTAGAGCACAGCTGTGCAAGAGAATCAATTCTCCTAGGGGGCTGTGAAGAGGGCGCTTGGAAGGAGGCTCTGTTGCAACATTTTTGATGCGTTTTGGGTTGACGCCGGTCCTCTTCCTCCCCCTCCTCCTCCCTCTTCCTCCGCCTCCTCCTTGTTCGATACGTTGGAGATCTGGGGGTGTCGCGGGCGAGGTGGAGATCCTGGCCGGCGACGCCGGCGGCGAGCCGCGCGGTCAGTTCGAGGCCATGGGGCGCGCGGTGCGGGCGCTGCTGGCGCTCGGGCTGCTGCCAGAGGGCCTGGACTTCTTCGCGCGGTGCTCAGCTTCAGCGAGAGGGGGCCCTCCTCCCGCCTCCCTCTTCCCCCGTTCCTCCTCCCCTCCTCGCCCCCTCCCCTCCTGCTCCTCCCTCCCCCTCCTCCCCCTCCCCCTGCCCCCCCCCCTCGAGGTCCCCCTCCTCCCTCTCCTCCTCCCTCCTCCACCCCCTCCTCCCTCCTCCCCCGCCCTCCTCCCTCACCCTCCCTCCTGCCTCCCTCCTCCCTCCTTCCCCTGCACCTCGGTCGAAGGAGCGCTCTGGTCACGGAGAGCCCAATGTTCTGCTCCCCTCGCTCCCGGGGTTCATGCCCGCGGGATGGCGGCTCCGGCTTGAGGGCGGCACGGGACAAAGGCGTACCTGGTCAAGAAGTCTGGGGGCCCCCAAATGGGGCGGTGACCACACCGTGTGGTGAGTCGGTGCGGATTCGGGGTCACCACACGGCTTTGGAAGTCGAGTCCTTCTCCGAGGACGTCTCGGGCGACGGGGGCTTCCGGGGTCCCAAGACCGCGCGGTGACGGACCGTGCGGTGAGGTCTTGGGGTATTTCGAGGTCACCGCACGGTCTGTCACCGCACCGTTTCGGGACCCCAAAGAAGTGCAGCAACATGGGTTTGTAAAATGTTGGGCGTGCGGGCATGGTTTTCGCCGTCGAGAAGCCGCTGGCGGTGGGGAAGCACAGATGCGTCGAGGGGGTCGATCTTCAGCCACACGACCTCGGAGAAGCTCGTCGATGGCTTGCTGATGCTCGGGCTGGCGCCCGCCAAAAACAAGCAACCCCAGTTCTTCGACATCGGTTCTGTGTGTGAAGTCCGCTCATATTCCCATTATATCGTCATATACCGCGATTGTATCGGCTCAGGTATTGGCAACACAGACACAGAGCGCTGCCCTCTGCGCAGCGCCCAGGACAAGGAGTTCCTTCCCTTTCCCTTCCTTTGCCTCCACCTGCGGATACCCATATAGGATCGACTCGTCGGTCGTCTCCCTTTACACACAGGTTCCGACGACCTCGTGCCAGCTGTTGAAGGCATCGAGACGCGGGCCCACCAGCCAGTGAAGTCCGAGGGGAGCGCGCTGGGCACCACGCAGAGCACGACGAATCTTCGCAATATCAACGACGTGACGAATGTTTTGGCATCGCTCGGACGTGTGCATTTTTTCTCGGCGAGAATCATCGAGGACCATCCTGGACCATCGAGCAAAACAAACACGCACAAAACCGACAAGTGCACGGGAAATGGACGTCCGAGCGACGGCAAGAGGTGCAGATGGCTCAGACAGTTTTGGACACGATCAGTGAGATGAAGGAACAGCTGGCAGACCACCTGCCTGGGAATTACGATTTGTGCTCTTCACCACGAAGTGAAATGCAAGGTTGACCTTGACAAAAGTTCGTGCATGACGAAGGTGTGTTCGTGGGACGGAGCTTGCCCCACGCAGTGCGTTCTCATGAAAGAGCGGGGTACAAAGAAATGTGTTGGCAGTATCACGAGATGAATAAGCACATGCACGGTCTTCGCAACATCGACGGCGAGATGTAGGAGCAGGTGGTCGAGTTTGCGACGGGGCTCGGGGAAAGAAATTTGCAAGTTCGTCAGCTGGAAACGCTCGCTGGGCGCCACGAGGTGGACATCTAACCAGATCATGATCGACCTAGGTGAAATCAGTGACGTGACGAAGGCGCACATGGAAATTATCCAGAAGGATCTTGACAATATTAGTGGGGATATGCAGGTGCACACGAAAGATATGGACAAGACCACCTACGAGATGAAAAAGCAGCTTGCCTCGCTCAAGGAGGAGATGGAGGGGCTAATGGCTGCGACCAGGGCAGACCTAGACAAGAACAGGAACTCCAAGCAGGGACAGCATGGGACAAGTTCGTTACATCTTGAAAAAGAAACCGAAAGTGCAGCTGCCAGAAACCAAGACGGAGCTTCAGTCCTCGTTGAAGCAGCTGGGCAGCAAGATCGGAACAAAAAAGAATTCGACAAACTCAGAAGCACCGTGTCTTGTCGGGGTTGGGATGGACGGGCGGTGCACCGTGGCACGCCCCTGCTGGCTTTTGCTGTTTAGTCCGCTTGAGGTGTTCATTCATTCACCTCGGTCGATGGAAAGGAGGAGGCGGAGCAGGAGGAGGAGGAGGAGGAGGAGGAGGAGGAGGATATGCCCAGACCACCTCGCGTCATGACTAGTGACTCAAGTCACCACGGGCGGGCCTCGGACGGTTTGCGGCCTTCGGGGGCACTCGCCCAGCCAGGGCAGCGCAAAACGCTCCGGGATGAGAAACCAGCCTCCTGGAAGAGGTCCAGACGTCGCTGGGAGTCCCACGCCGACAAAAAAACATGGCGTCGGACGCCCGGGGGAAAGGAAGCGGAACGGGAGACACGACTTGCGTTAAGTCGGGCGTGTCCGTCTACAGGGGGAATATTCAAAAATAGTCAAAAAATAGTCTGGGGACGATTTTTTGACTATTTTTGAGAATATTGGGGGTACTTCTTTAAAGTAGTATGTTTCATTTCTCGCCCAGAATCTCCCTGCAGGGGGACACGCCCGACTTAAGACTTGCGGCGAGGGCGCCTGCGCCTCGGGCCTCGCGGCTGGGATGGAAGAGGGTGGCCTGCCTCTCGCCCCCACGGGCTCGGCCGTGGCTGCATGATTCGGAACGCTGCTTGGCACGAGCGCACACTCGGCATGTCGGGGCGGTCTCCCCGCGCGTTTGGCGCGCCTGTTCGCTCTCGCGCGCGTTCTGGCGCGTCGCTCGTGCGCCTGCCTGGCTGCACCCGTCTGCCCGCGCGCGTTTGGCGCACGGCTGCCTCGTCGCTCGGCATGAACACGCAGCGTAAGCGTCCAGGCGCCACCCTTTCCCCGGGGGCGCGAGCGCGAGCGCGCCTGACGCCACGCGGCCTGGGCCGGAGGGGCGCCTGAACTATCTCCCGGGGCGGGGGCGCGCAGGCCGCGGCGCGCCCGCGCGCCTCGGGGGGCGCGGGCGGCGCGGAGTCGGGCGGCCGTGGCCCAGGAGGCAGCCACGTGCTGCAAGGGAGCACGCGGGGACAAGGGATGGAACAATAACAAAACGCCATGAGCGTACACTGCGGGCGCTCCGCGCGGATTTCTTGAATCCGCGCTGGGCCCCCCCCCCCCGGCGGCGCCTGCGGCGCGCCAGGGATCCAACGAATACGCGCGGAGCGCTACAAGTTTATGGTTACGCAGTTTTCTCTTCCTCCAGAAAGGAGAGGACAGGTGCGGACACATCGTGCCCTTGCTCTCGCCTCGCCTTCGGCGAGGCGGGCCCCAGCGGCCGATACCGCGGGGGCCACCGTCGGCTCCTTGCCACTCGTGGACACAAAGCGGCCACGGGATTACGGCCAGGACTGCTCGCGGCCCGACTCGAGGACGGCAGGTCGCCCCCGGGGGCGCGAAGGTGATCGCGTTTCGCGCCGCGACTTGGCTTGGAGAGGCGCCTTTCTCCAGGGCTGCGGCGCGAGGGTGCCGCACCGTCGCGCTGCGAAGATGACTTCGCACTGCGAAGATGACCGTGCGTCGCGCGTCGCGGGGCGCGATGCGCTGCGCGAAGTTGGGTGACCGAAGTGAATCATTGCATGGGGGTCATTGGCTCCCTCGACCGCCTGGATGACCTCTCCTGGCCGGAGGCCGGCAGCTGCACCGTGGGCTGTCAGATCATGGCACGATTGTCGCATCGTGTCGTCCCTCCTCTCTCCCCCTCCTGTCTCCTCCCTCGTTCATCGTCGTCGTCGTCGTCGTCGTCCTCCTCCTCCTCCTCCTCCTCCTCCTCCTCTCTTCCTCCTCTTCCTCCTCCTCCTCCTCCTCCTCCTCCTCCTCCTCCTCCTCCCCCTGCAAAGCTGTTTTCGATGGGGTACCGAAGGGCCCCTTTGCAGGCGCAGTCGTCTTGTTCCACCCTGCTCGCGCGCCGTCCTGCGCAAGGCTTCTGACCTGACCTGACCTGTTTGGTCCCCCAAACTCCGGTTCCGATTCCGATCCGATCCGGCGCGAACCAGCTCCATCTCTGGCTTGCAGCGGCCAGGTCCGCTACCCAGGACGATCCGATCCCGATACGATTCCGCGCCTGCTCGGGCGCGGCCCGATCCGTTTCCGTTTCCGATCCGAGTTGTTTCTTCTATCCATGTTTCCATCCAGCTCAGGCCCGCGTCAGACGCAGAAAGAGAGAGAGAGAGACAGAAAGAGAGGAGAGAGAGAGAGAAAGAGAGAGAGGCAGGCGCTCCAGATGCCCAGAGGCAGGCGAGGGGGACACGGTCAGGCGACATCTTCTGTCCCTCCGGTGGGCCCGGTCTGCTCGCTTGCCCCTGGTGCGGCCGGCTGGCCGCGACGGGCGAGGCGGGGCGAGGATTTGGGGCGACGGGCGCGGATAGCGGCAGCCCGCATCCATGAGGATGAGCGACTTCCCCAGGTGAAGCCTGAATCCTTCGGATTGCTTGTGGAACCCAGCGGGATCCTCGGGTCCTTCACCCCCTCGCTCGCTCCATCTCTTCTCCCCTCTCCCGCTTTGGTCGCAGCAGGCTGGCTCGTGTTCACATTCAGTCAACCCGCACAGTAAGGATGTGCAGCTTTCCAGGGTTACCCTTGCATCCTTCCCCTTCGACCTTTCCTCAGCCGCTTTCGCTGGCCGCGCCTCATTCGCAAAGTGCCGACGACCTTCCGAGGCCCTTGCATATTTATCGTGCGTCCTTATTACACTGGTTGGCCGTCTGATCGAAGGGGCGCGGGTGCATACCGCAGCTCGCGAAAGTGCCGGGCGAGGGACCAAGGGCGATGCGGGCGAGGGGAGTGGAAGTCAGCGGAGGAAATGGCGCGGACACCGCTATGATCGGACCAAGGTATAAGATCGAGGTCGGTTTAGGGAGGATACCTTGATGGTCTTCCCGTTTGTTGGATGTTCTCGTGCATCCTGGGGGAGGGTAGTTGCGCACCCTCGAGTGATCTTACGGTTTGGGGTGTTGTGGCCAGCGGAGGAATGTTTTTCTGTCCTATGTCCGGCCGCATTCACCTCGTTTTTGTTCGCCCTCTTGGACCTGCTGGCAGACCCTCGTCGCCGCGGCTGGATGCGCCTCGAAGTTCTGGTCAACACGCACAGGGGGCGAGGTCCAGGGAGCAGCGGTATCGGTACCCTCTTGCTCCCCCCCCTGAGGCGGGAGAGGGGAGTGGGGAAGGCGGGAGAGGCGAGGGCGCGTAGAGTGGAAGAGCGACGAGTGCTGCTCGTTAGGGTGGCTCCCGCCGCCCGTCGGCGCTGCGGGTGTCTTCTTCCAGCGCTCCCCTGGGCTGCAGCCCTCAGGGCCCCTTCGAACCAGGACGCTGCTAAACGGGACTTTGAAGGTTCCACCTGGGGAGAGCGAAGAATGGATCATGTTTCGACACATGAGCGACGCAACAAAAAGGGGGTCGTCGTCACCGGCATCGGCGCGCAAGCTGACCGCGTAAGGTCTCGCGTGAGCACCCTCGTCTCCAGCGTGGCGTGCCACGATGGCGGCCCGCGTTAGCCGCCGCGTAAGGTCGCCGCGCCATCTCTCGCGAGACCCGTTTTTGGCCGGCGCCCACATGGCTGCAGTTTTCTCGCACGCGCCCGCAGTGTCCTGGCAGCAGCTGCTGCTGCTGCTGCTGCTGCTGCCCACAGGGAGCGAAGCCCGCCACCCTCCCACCTTTGGTGGCGCCCCTCTCCGCCCCTTTGAGGGCCGAGGCAGCTGGGTGGGTCCCTGGCGGGAGCCTCGGGTTGGCGGCCCCTCGCCGCGGGCGCCCCCTGCACGAGGGGAGATCTACGGGGGTCCTGGAGGGCAGGAGGAGGAGGGGGGAGGGGGAGGGGGAGGGGGAGGGGGAGGAGGAGGAGGAGGAGGAGGAGGAGGAGGAGGAGGAGGAGGAGGAGGAGGAGGAGGTCCCTAGCGGGAGCCTCGGGTTGGCGGGTCATTCTCGCCCCTCCTCCCCTCCTCGCTCCCACGCGCGCTCTGCTTCGCGAAACGTCACCAAAAACATCCAAAAACGGCCTGGTTTATCGAAAGGCTCCCGTTTCGGGGGCCCTCGTCGACCCTGGGCGAACGGGGGGGAGGAGGGGACGCGGCGGTCGGGAGCGGAGCGGAGGAGCGACGAGGCTGCTGCTCGCTGGCACATATGCCATGCCGCCCCTCGGCGATGCGGTCGGACCGAGGGGAGGATAGGGAGTGTTCTTTGTCCTCTGGGCCATGACGCAGGTTTTATGCCCCCTCCCCCCCCCACCCCCCCTCCACCCCCCGTACCCTATTACGTAACGCTCCGCCCTCAGTGCGTCCCCGGCACTGCCGCAGTGTGTCCGGCATCACAGTCGGGGGGGGGGGAGGGCGCTACGTTATGCCCTCTCCTGTCGCCCCCCCCCCTCCCCCCATAACGCCCGTTATGGCCGCGAATGAAAAAATGCGCTCGTACCCTTCTTCGTGTTTGTTGGATCATTCGTGCATCCTGGGGGAGGGTACCCTCGAGTGTGCATCCTGGGGGAGGGTACCCTCGAGTGTTCTTCAGGTTGGCCAGCGGAGGGTCTCATGTTCTTGAGGGATGTTGCTCTGTCCTTGGTCCAGCTGTATGCTGGTGACTTCTTCTGGAGCTGTAGGACGGCTGGCCGGCAGCCCTCCAGCAGCTTCTCGTCGAACAGCGCCACGACGTTGCGTTGGGGGTTCCGTCGAGGTTTCGTCGCGTCGCCGTCCGGTGCCGCCTCGTTGCCGCCCACTCGGATGGGCCTGTCGAGGTTTCGGCGCGTCGCCGCCCGCTGCCGCTTCGTTGCCGCCCACTTGGGGCGTCCGTCGAGGTTCGCCGCGTTGGCATCTCGTTGCCGCCTCGTTGCCGCCCACTTCGGGCGTCCGTCGAGGTTTCGTAGAGTCACCGCCCGTTGGCATCTCGTTGCCGCCTCGTTGCCGCCCACTTGAGGGGTCCGTCGAGGTTTCGCCGCGTCGCCGCCCGTTGCCTCCTCGTTGCCGCCCACCGCGATTGGGAGGCATGTCGAGGTTGCACCACACATATAGCTTACACCGCATAGCTTGCACCATATAGCTTGCACCACATAGCTTGCACCACATAGATTTCAGCACATAGTTCACACATCCACAGTGCAATAACTGAATGTTTGGGGTCTACACTGGCTTGCGGCTAACATGTGTCATTCGAAAAATAGCCAGTATTGTTTTTCTCCAACCATATTGTGCTGTTGGGTCTTCGTTTTGACGCTCACCTTACCTCGCCTCCCTCCTCCTCCCTCCCTCCTCCCATCCCATCCCCGCCTTCACCATCCACATGCCACTGTTTGGCACACCGCTCACACGCTTCGTGGCCCCACAACCAGGGAGCTCCGCCGAAGGCCCCAGTGGCTGCGTTCGCGTGCGGTTCCCCTCCCATTTCGGCACACCCCTCACTCGCTCCGTGGCTCTATAGGGAGCTCCACCGAAGGCCTCAATGGCTGCGTTCGCGTGCGGTTCCCCGCCCATTTCTGCACACCTCTTACACGCTTCGTGACCCCATATGGAGCTGCATACAAGGCCCCAATGGTGCCGTTCGCATGTGTCCCCGCCACCCATTCCGGCACACCCCTTTCTCGTTTCTTGGCTCCATGGGGAGTCCCACCAAAAGGCACCAATGTGCCGTTCGCATGCGTCCCCGCCATCCATGTTGGCACACCCCCAACAAGCTTCGTGGCCCCATAGGGCATAGGGTGCAATGGTCCCGCTTCTGACCACTGCCCTGATAGCAATCCTGGATAGGTGCTACTCTCTTCTCTTCTCTGACAGCGTATTGAAATCAATGTAGGGGATGTTGAGCTCGTCTCAAAACTGGTCAAATATGATGGGGCAGTGGCGGTGCGATGCTGATCGCACTTGGTGGTGAACAGGATCTGTTTGTTAGCGGGCAGTTCGCTGCTCTGCGTCTCTTGGACGCACACCAGAAATCCAGCGTCGCTGAGACGCTGCAAGGTCTTGAGCCAGAACGGTTTCGGTTGAACATGTTCTGTTTATGATATATGTTGCAACTTGTTGCTAGGGAAACGGAGGGCCTACTGAGCAAGGCTGGCTGAAACCTGGAGTCTTAGGGGGCCCGATTCGCCGGGAGACGCTTGGCTAACATACACGAGGCTCCTTTGGAGCCTGAAGCATATATATATATATACATATATATATATGTATATCACGCTATATACATATATATATATATATATATATCACGCGATATGGAGCTTGAAGCATATATATATATATATATATCACGCTCGGCCTCTCGAGGCCATCTGTCGTAAGTAGGCTCTGAGGAGGCAGGCTCTGGGCTGTGAGTTGCATGCCCAAAATCTAAAGATCGATGTTACGGCATCGAGACCTGCCTCTGGCAACTGAATTCACAGAAAGCACAGAGCGCGTGAGCGGCTTCATCATGCCCCACAGGGCTATATCTCCAGCAGGGCTCTCCTGCTCGTCGGAACTGTCGCGGGCGTAGTAGATCAGGGCCTCCAGCATAGCGTTCTCGTCATCATCCGAGATCGGCTTGCCATGGTCGAGCTTGTCCAAACCCTCGGTCTTGCGCTTCCGGGCGCTGCGGTGAAGGGGGTCGTCCACGAGTCTCCAGCGTTGGCCTGATCTGAAGAACTCCAGCAAGTTGGCGGCACGATCCTTGGTCAACCCGTCGGCTAACATGGCGTCGCTGTGTACCCAGCGTACCTGGAGGGCCGTCTGCTCCTTCTGCTGTCGAATGCCCAGGCACTCGATGCTCGTCCGCTTGTCACGTAGTCCGAGACCAGCTGACTCACTCTTCTCGATCGCGTCGTAGCCCGACTTACCGTCTGTGACAAGTACGCCAGGGCAGGATGAGATGGCGTCGTTCACGTGCTGCTTGTTGGTGTAGTCCACTTGACCGCACTCCAGCTCGTAGATAATAGTCGCACGTAACTGATCTCGTCCAGGGTCTCAGTCATCATCTGGACCTCCGCACTCGTACTGCTTCTGGCCACTCTGGGTAGCTTGCATGATCTCCAAGAGATAGGCGCAACCGTCTCTGTCGAGCCACTCAGGAAGGACAGGGGGGCCAGAACAACGATTTCTCCGCCTTGGGACTCGCCGGTGATGCGGGCGGCCCAGGCTGCGTCGCCCCAGCCAACCACGGCGATCTGCTCAATGGCCGGGATGAGCATGACCACGTCGGCGGTGTCATTCATGGTGCGGATAAGCTTGTTGATCTTCTGGATGGTTGAGACCGTGGCCGTAGGTATCTCCGCTTGAAGTAGAGAGACTTCTGCGCTGAGCCACGGGGCCGACTGCTGAGCTCGCCATCCGACTGTACCAAGTCGGCCTCGTAGGTCTGATCTCTCCTTGTCTGAAACTCCTTCCGTGGGTTTCCGTCCACGTCGTATCTTGATGGGCTCCACGTTCAGGCTGTAGCTGTCCTGTGCGAGGCTGCAGGTGTAATCCTCGTTCTGTCGAATGCTGATGCCGCACTGCACGAACGCTCGGCTCTCCCAGGGTGTCCATTCGAAAGCTTGTTGAATCTCCTGACGCTTCTTGCAAAAGGCCGAGTTGTTGTGATCGCCGGCGATCATCATATCGTCGATGTGTAGGATGACCATGCCAACCAGCTTGTTGCCGTCTCGGATGACCCAGACGCAAGGCTCGCACTGCACGATCTCCAGCTTCAGCGTCCTGAGCGTGTCCTTGAAATGGAGCCACCACTTGCGAGGAGCATGTACGAACCCGTACATAGGCTTGAGGAATTGTAGTACATCGTCATCTTTCATGCCGAATGCCTGACGAACATCTTTCGGCGGGTCGGCGTAGATCTTCCTCTTCTCCTCGTCAGTCTCGCCCTGGAGGAAGGCTGTCACTGCGTCTGCCTTCTCCAGCTTCCACTTGTGTCTTGCTGCCATAGCCAGTAGAAGTTGTCGGGCACGTCTTGAGGCAACTGGTGATTCTGTCCGTAGGTGTAGTAGATCGGGGTCGCTGAAGCCAAGCACGACCATCTGGCCTTGCCTCGGAGCACGTTGCCTTGCTCGTCCTTCTTCCAGGTCAGCACGAAGCGGCAGCGCAGCAGGCGCGCCGGGTCGATCCCCTTGCGGCTGAGGATCCTGACAGCCTTCGTGCTGAGGACGGAGGCGCACTCCTTCTGCTGGGCCTCAAATAGCAGCTTCTTTTCCTCAGGCGTCGCCTTCTTGAAGGAGACCTCCACTCGGCCCTTCCGGGCCTGTGATGCCACGAAGTTGCTGGGATCGTCCATGTAGGCCATGAACGCGTGCTCGTTGCTGACAGGGATGTCCAGCACGATGAGCTCGTCGTCCTCCTTCATCTCGTCGTACTGCTGGACGCTGTAGGCGTAGTCCCCGTAGAAGTCGCCTTCCTGCAGGTAGTAGGAGAAGGCCTCCTGGGTCGCGACGTTGATCCGCTGCTTCTTGCCAGGTGGCTCAGTTGAGCCAGGCGACCGCAGCCGGCGCATATCGTTCACATCGGGCGCCGTAGTCTCGTCGAGGTCGTCGTCCGTGTCCACCGCAATGGGCTGCTGAGACGTGCGCTCTGCTTGGCCGTCGTCGGGAGGGGCCTCCATGACGATCTCCTCTTCTGCAGGTAGCTCGGCTTCCTCTTGGCGTCCAGCTTCGTGGCCTCCCTCTTGTGGAATGCCTGGTGGTGCTTCTGGCTGTGCTGGCTGTACGAGAGGGTCTTGGACCTCGGCCGCCTCGGTCCAGGGATTGCCCTTCTTCCGAAGGCGCCTTGGAGGTCGCGGTCCGGGAAGAGGTCGCTCTTCCAGTCCTGGGGGTGCCTCGATGGCTCCACCACCTCCGCCGCCGCCTCCTCCTCCTGGGCCCAAGCTCCGAGGATCTCCTCGTGGCACGGGTAGCTCCTCGTCCTCAGGAATGGCCCAGGTCCCGCTCGCGTTGCCCTCGAAGGTGCGAGCGCTGACAGACTCGCCGTCGTCAGCGGCAAGGTCCTCGCCAGTGGGCGGGGACTCGTTCGAGAGGTCGATCACCTCATTCTGGTCGAGCAGCTTCTCGACGTCGCCGAAGGTCCACGTCCCCGGCTGCTCGCGATGCGAGCGTAGAGAGTCCATCGCCTCTTCGGAGGGCGTAGCGGGTCGAAGCTGTTCTGGGGCCACTCGATAGAGGCGTCCAGCCAGTGTGATGTTGACCACTGTCCCAGGTAGACCAGGTCGGTGTCCAGAGCTCGATGGCTCGTGGCAGAGTACTCGTCCAGGTCCGTACCAGCGGCCTCGCCCAGGCATGGAGCGAGGTTGGCCCTTCTTGATCCAGGCTCCTGGTGGGAGCCTCCTGTAGACGAAGACCAGGTCGCCCTGTCTCGTACCTCTTGAAGGACCTGAAGCGCGTGGCCTCCGCCCGTTTGACTCGGTCGGAGTTCTCGGTCTGGATGTGAGCCAGCCGCGCCATTCGTCGAACTTGGGCGTCCCTGCTGAAGGTGCCATCCTGCAGCTCGGCGCTGATGAGGGGCAGGTTGTTCGGCTCGTCGGACAGATTAACCGTGGTCCCCGTCGGGGTCCGTCCAGCATAGCGCTGAAGTGGGCTGAACCCGTCGATCCTGATCAGGTCGTTCCTGGCAGCTGTTTGGAGTCCAATCATTTCGCTGGTAGGTACTTCAACTGAGACCATCTCGTCGAATGCGTCGAGGGCCTCCTTGAAGACTTCTATCGCGCGCTCAATCTTGCCGATATGCCAGTGGGCGTCGGCCGCGCATGGAAGACAGTAGACTCCCTGGCTCTCGATCCACTCGCGGAGCTCGTTAGAGATGGCGCTGCCAGCGGGATCGTAGCGCATGACCTTCGGACGTCCCATCCAGGGAAACCACTTTGTCGCAAAAATATGTCGAAGGTCGCCGGCACGAACTTGTCGGGTCGTACCCGGGATCTCCTTCTCGTCGATCAGTCGCACGTAGAGGATGTCTGAGCCGGCGTCGAGGATCGCCAGCGCCATCACGTTCGTCTTCTTGCTGCGACGGATCCATGAGAAGGCGTCGAAGAGAACCTCGTGACCGTTCTGCGGCTGCTCTGCTGATGAGGCTGGTGGCCGCTTCGTCGGTGGACGGTGCGCGTCGCAGATGTCGCACTTGAATGTCCTGGCCAGTCGTAGCACCTCTGGGCGAGCACCACGGTCACGAAGGTATCGTAGTAAATGAGCTCGAGGTAGATGTCCAAGGTTGGTGTGCACCAGCCTGATGTAGCTCTCGATTTTCTTGATCGTCTCTTTGGTGAGGTCGTGGGTCTCCTTGCCGTCTTGAGGTAGAATCGACGGCTCGTCCTCCACAGGCGTAGGCTCCGTCGGTGGCTGCTGGGTAGCTGCCATGCAGAGGCACTTCACAACCTCGTCCTCGAAGTAGTTGTGGTTCTGGCTCTTAGTCAGAGCCCGAAGGATCCGGCGGCACAGAATCTTGGGATAGTAGCCCGAAGCCTCGGTCCTCAAGCTGCTCTCAATCTCCTCGTGGTAGTGTCCTCCACGGCATTGTGGCGGCTGTAGGGCTACCCAGATCCTCTTGTCGTTCGTCAGAAACTTCCAGCGCTTCTTCATGAGCTCGCCTGTGTCGGGAGCTCTTAGTCCGCAGGCGCAGCCGTCCACGATCACCTCGTAGGGGAGGATCTTGTGGAGGTCCTTCCAGCAGGTCTTTTGCCACGACCGACCGTTGCGTGGCTGCTCGGCGAGGGCCGAGCCGTTCAGGTTGAGCACCTGGTGCTCTATGAGCCTCTTGTTGTTCTCGAAGATCCGCTGGCTCTTGAGGCGCTTCCTGCGAAGGTTCCCCCTCCGCCTGTCATCGCGCTGGTTGACGTTCTGCACTATCGACCAGGGCCCGCAGGGTGGAGTGCTGACGAAGAGCTCCGGGCGCTTCTCGTCCAGCAAGAACTTCGCCTTGTGGTAACCCTGCGGCTTGCTGAGGTCGTTCTCGTTGAACAGGCCGAGACGCTCGTAGTGGTAGCCCTTCTCGTCGCACACCTTCCCGAGGTTCGAGTCCTCGTGGGTACACGCTTCGACCATCGTCAGGCGGCCGAAGGTCGTGAGGGCGCGCATAGCTCCGAAGATAGCCGATCTCGTCATGTGAGTAGCTGCTCGGATCGCCTGACGCTGATGACCTTTCAGCGGCCGGCTCTCATCGCTGTGCCAGCGCGACCTCTCGGCCTGAACCTCGCTCAGGCCCTCGTCCTGGCCGCGCACGCCTGGTGGCACCACCCGTAGGGCTTCGCCTTCACGATCGGCTCGTTCTTCGCGATGCCTCGGCATAGCTTGCAGTCCGGGTGCTGGCACATCTGCGTGTAGTGAGCTTGGATCGCCGGGCCCACAGTCGTAGGCGCCTTCTCCGTCTTGATCGTCGCTCCCGCCGTGCCGCGCTGCTCGATGATGTACGCTATGAGCTTGTCGACCACCTCCTTCTTGCCCGACTGGGTCAACCCCCACATCTTGCACAGGGGCCTGGCCTGAGGTGGTTGCCCAGCGTGACCATGCTGAGCTGCTCGTGGATCTGCTCTGAGCTCAGCACTGCAAACGCATTCACCTCCGCAAACTTGGTCAAGAAATCTGACTTTGCGGTCTCGATGGTGGCCCGCAGCTCTTGGTTCTGCTCGCGCGCGGCCGCGGCTGTTGACTTCTGGGGGCGCTGCTTCGCCTTCGTGCACGGCGGACTCTGCTCGATCTTCGCACGGTGCTCGAGGTCCGTCGGCCAGGTCGGGTACTTCTCTGGTAGCAGCTGCACAGGTAGGCCGAGATTGTCCAGCTTCCAGTTCACGTGATCGATCGTCTTGAGAAATACCTTCTGTATGACCCGCCCCCAGCGGCGGCACTGTGTCCACTGCCGGAGGGGCTTGCTGGACCACATCTCCCAATTCGGCAGGTGCTCCAGTAGGAAGATGTCCGTCATCCGCTTCTTGCTGTTGTCCAGCTTCGAGCCCTCGACCGTGTAGAAGATGTTGCCCTTCGTGTCCTGGTGAGCGATCAGTCTCCCCTGCGGCAGTATCCGTTGTAGCGTAGGCCTCGTCGACGTCGGTGAGCGGCACGTCGCCGAGGCTCCCGAGTCCTCCAGAGGCACCCGAACGTCCACCTGCTCCCAGGGGCCGTCCATCTCCTCGTTCTCCAGCTTCACTTGCTGGCTCTCTGCTTTGCGGCATTTCGTCTCGCGGTTGAGGCTCATGCGAATATGGAAGGCAATCTGGTTGCCGAAATCGGAGCTCTGAGCTCGGATCGTTCGCAGCCCAAATGGCTCTGGGGAACGGTGGCGTTTCCGTTTGGAGCGCTGGGAATTCGGGGATATTTGGGAAAGCCTTTGAGGGTGACCCTGATGATGTCATAGCTGAGGCCGTAGGGGCTGATATAGATGATGTCCCAGACGTTGTTATTGATGATGTCCCCGGAGCCGTAGGTGATGGTGATATCCCTGTAAGCGTAAAGGATGATGGTGTCCCCGTAGGCGTAGGTAATGATGATGTCCCCGTGCTCGTAAGTGCTGATGAGGTGCTTGAGGCCTGCAGGGCTCCATGATCTGGGACCTCGTCGGGGACCTTATGGGGCACAGATGCAGGTGGTTCGTCAATCTTGCTTCCGATCGGCTGCTCATTTTCATGTTTTCCCTCCGGCACCGTAGCAGTCTCGGGTGTCGAGGGCGTGGGCCCCTACTCGAGGGATGCCACGAAGCCAAAATCGGCTTGTTGAACAAGTGGCAGTGCAAGGTGGCCGCTCGGAAGGACGAGCAGTTCAGCTCGACGTCCGAGCTTCTTGAAGTAAACAGAATGTGCCTCGCAGTCGATCACAGCTCCCAGGCGGCTCAGAACATCCACTCCGATCAAGAGCGGGGCATCTGCGTCGAGGATGTTAATCTCGAGCTCGCCGTCCACACCAGCAATCTTGAGAGGAAAGGTAGCCTTGCTGGTGCAGGTCTTGGAGTTGCCGTCGCCAAAGATAAAAGTACTCTTCTGGCTAACGTCCATCTTGATGTTCTGGCCCGTCTGCTCGTAAATGATGTCGCGTAGGTTCTCGGCGGCCTCTATGCCAATGATGCTGGAGGTTGCGCCGATGTCCAAGATTCCGAAACCCTTGGAGGAGCTCTGCTTCACACTCATGAGGATCCAGTCGTCGAGCTTCTCCAGTGTAGGCCAGCTCGGCAGCTTGACGCGTTGAACTCGCTCCCGCATCTCGATGGACTTCTCCACCTGAAGATACTGGGTCTTGTCGAGCTGCCTCTTCGCTTCGCCTGCTTCGGCTTGTTCTTGATCACCGGCTTGTGAAGCATCGCAGTCTCCAGCTCGATGCGGGTCGTTTCGTTCGTAATGAGGTTTGCCTCCATCTCGGCATCCTGCTCGGCGCCGAAAAAGACGAAAGCTCCCAAACCTCGCTTTGGGCGTTCACGATCTCCTTTGCTGCCGGCCGATGAAGCGCGATCTCGATGATCCTTCGTCTCGCGATTGCCTCCGCACTTCAGACGTGGCCCCTTCCGGGGCAGCCGACCTTGGGAGCGATCTCCATCTCGTCGAGGCGGTCCGTCACGTCGCTGTCCGCTCCCTCGGCCTCGTCCTTTACTCGACGACCCAGGGCCTCGGGATCCAGCCCGGGGCCCTTGAAACTTGCGCTGTCCTCCGCGACCTTCTCGCTTCTTATTCTCATCCACGGGGTAGAACTTCCTTGCTGTCTTGACTCGTCGAAGGAGGTCTCTGGCTTCCTCGAAGCTGCGCTGCTGGGCGGCGAACGCGGTCTCGGCGTCCTCGATCTCCTGGGCACTGTAGAGCGGCTCCTCGGGATCTCCTTCGTCCTCGTCGCCGTCGCCATCCTCGTAGGAGACCTCCAACTGCTCTCCGTCGTAGTAGCTGTAGTCGTCGTCGTCCTCGCTGTTCTTCTTCCAGCCGGCATGGATTCGACCTCGCTCTCGATGGCGATGGTGGTCCTTGCCTTGCTTCTTGTCGCGATTCGTCAACTCATCGTCGGGCCAAGATACTCGCAACTGCTCTCCGATGCTGTCATAGTCGAAGTTGCCTTTGACTGCGCTGATCACTGCTGCACGTTCGGTCGGGGACAGTCTTGATCTCTGCAGCAGTAGCCATCCGCGCAGTTGGTCCAGAGGAATCGCCTGATTGAAGTTGGTACCGAAATCTGGATGCTCGGGTATCTCCTCTAGGCCATTGCTGACAAAACTCCAGAGACGCCAGTTGAGGTCCTTCGCTACTTCTACAGCATCTTCGGGGCCCTCGTGCTCGATCTTGTAAAGAAACCACTTCAACTCACTGTAGAGGGTGTTCCACAACTTGGATCTCTCGGAGAGGCGGGCCGTACGCTGCTTCTTGAAATACTCGGTGTCAAACCCTTTCACAACGTCGTGGTAGGCCTCGTCGTCTCTGCTGATATAACTCGGCATCGGCTCTCCTGTATCTCGGCGTAAGTCAAAGATCCATCTCGCTAGGTACTTGCCTGCATCCTGGATGGGCTGAGCTCCGAGCTTCGCTCGAACATGTCGTAGTAGCTCTGCAGCTCCATCGTCTTTCTCGATGCGGCCCCAGTCCACGTCTGTGGCTGTTTGTCGGGCTCGACCTTCTAGTCGTCTCCATAGTCGTGGGCCGCACACATATCTCTCATTTCGCCGCGTCCCTCGGATGTAGGCTTTGACGTCTCTCTAATAATCGGTCCACCGTGGTGAGATCTCCATTCCACTCAGGTATAATGCCATCGGTGCCGTTGTTCTTAGTCATGGCTCACACGATGAAACTGATGTCCGTGAATCTGTAGTCCGTGGAGCTTGATAGCTCCGCTACCATGCAATGGTCCCGCTTCTGACCACTGCCCTGATAGCAATCCTGGATAGGTGCTACTCTCTTCTCTTCTCTGACAGCGTACTGAAATCAATGTAGGGGATGTTGAGCTCGTCTCAAAACTGGTCAAATATGATGGGGCAGTGGCGGTGCGATGCTGATCGCACTTGGTGGTGAACAGGATCTGTTCGTTAGCGGGCAGTTCGCTGCCCTGCGTCTCTTGGACGCACACCAGAAATCCAGCGTCGCTGAGACGCTGCAAGGTCTTGAGCCAGAACGGTTTCGGTTGCACCTGTTCTGTTTATAATATATGCTGCAACTTGTTGCTAGGGAAACGGAGGGCCTACTGAGCAAGGCTGGCTGAAACTTGGAGTCTTAGGGGGCCCGATTCGCCGGGAGACGCTTGGCTAGCATACACGAGGCTCCTTTGGAGCCTGAAGCATATCTATATATATATATATATATATATATATATATATATATATATATATATATATATATATATATATATATATATATATATATCGGAGTAGGGCCCCGGGGCGGTGCCTGTCATCTCCATGGGGTGTGCAGGGCGCCCCCGGGAGCGTCCGAAGCGTCCCGGAGGGCCCCTGGGACCGCCAGGAACAGTTCGAGACCACCCAAGACGGCCCACGAGCGCTCCAAAACGCGCATAGATAGCCTCAGGAATGGCCAGGAAGGCCCGAAGACGTTCCAAGAGAGCTCCATGAGGCCCCGAAGGCATCCCAAGAGGCCTCCCAAGAGAGCCCCGACAAGCCAAAATCGTTGATTTGTATCGTTTTTTTCGAGGTTGTTGGCCTTCTCGTTTTTTCGGGGTTCCGACGCTCCAAGGCCGCCCGAGAGTCTCCCAAAACCGCCCCAAGACGGCCGAAGAGGCCCCCAAGACCGCCCCAAGACGGCCCAAGAGATCCCCAAAATCGTCCCAAGACGGCCCAGGAGAGCCCCAAGATGGCCCTGAGCGCGCCCCAAGACGTTTCCAGGCGAGCCCCACAGGCCTCCGAGCGGCCCCCAAGAGGCCCACTGGAGGCCCTCAGGAGGTCGTCCCCATCATGTTCCCGGAAGGCGGTCGGGGAACATGATTCCGCGCCTTGGATGAGTATTCTGCGCCTTCCGAGGCGCCTTCCGAGGCGCCTTGGACGACGTACGTCTGTTTCTATAGCTTGTCCTTCTCCTGTGTACACAATCCGACATGTCTTACGTATGTTTCCATATATATATATGTATATATATATATATATATATATTATATATATATATATATATATATATACATATATGTATGTATATATATATATATACATATACGTACACACGCATCCATATATCGGAGTCGGGCCCGGGGGCGGCCCGGGGCGGTGCCTGTAATCTCCATGGGGGGTGCAGGGCGCCCCCGGGAGCGTCCGAAGCGTCCCGGAGGGCCCCTGGGACCGCCAGGAACAGATCGAGACCGCCGAAAACGGCCCGCGAGCGCTCCAAGACGCGTATAGATAGCCTCAGGAATGGCCAGGAAGCCCCGAAGACGTTCCAAGAGAGCTCCATGAGGCCCCGAAGGCATCCCAAGAGGCCTCCCAAGAGAGCCGCGACAAGCCAAAATCGCTGATTATTATTATTATCATTATTATTATTATTAGTATTATTATTATTATTGTCATTATTATTATTATTATTATCATTATTATTATTATTATTATTATTATTATTATTATTATTATTTGTTGTCCGGGTTTTTGGCCTTCTCGCTTTTTCAGGGTTCCGACGCTCCAAGACCGTCCAAGAGTCTCCCAAAACCACTCCAAGACGGCCGAAGAGGCCCCCAAGACCGCCCCAAGACGGCCCAAGAGACCCCCAAAATCGTCCCAAGACGGCCCAGGAGAGCGCCAAGATGGCCCAGGAGCCGCCCAAGACGGTTCCAGGAGAGCCCCGACAGGGCTTCAAGACTGCCTAAGCGAGCCCAGCGGTCCCCAAGAGGGCCCCGCGAGGCCCCAAGAGGCTCCAAAGAGGCCCCCAAGAGCCTCCCTGGAGGCCCCCAGAAGCCCCCAAGAGGCCCAAAAATTGCCCTCAGCGCGCCCCAAGACGCCTCCAGGAGAGCCCCACAGGCCTCCGAGAGGCCCCCAAGAGGCCCACTGGAGGCCCTCAGGAGGTCGTCCCCATCATGTTCCCGGAAGGCGGTCCGGGAACATGATTCCGCGCCTTGGAGGAGTATTCTGCGCTTTCCGAGGCGCCTTCCGAGGCGCCCTGGACGACGTACGTATGTTTCTATAGATTGTCCTTCTCCTGTGTACACACTCCTACGTGTCTTACGTATGTGTTATATATATATATATATACATATTTACACACATATATATATATATATATATATATATATATATATATATATATATTATATCAATACGCGCCCCAAGACGCCTCCAGG